GCAATGATAATTTGCCACGTGAGTATTAAAATATTCTTCACTTCAAAGTGCAGAAACCATTTGATTTTGAATCGTAAATTCCAATTTATAGTAAAATACATTTTCATGATTGAAGAATAGTTTAGAAACTTAAAAAGGGCCTTCTTTTTCTTTTTGACTCATGTAGTTCCTTAATATGAAGTAACAAAACTTCTTGAGCAAGATTCTAATTTGAAATTTAATTAAGTATTCGCTTCTAAGTAAAGTTTTTTGGGACTTAGTTAAATTTTTTATTTTCTATTTTGGCAAGGAAGGTACTATCAGTCAATCATATAGGTGAACTGCGTAAACATGTACTCTTATAATAGCTTGCAAATTATACGAGAGACGTAATCCACACTCGGCTAATGACATGTGACAAACTCTGCCTAGCGACTATTGACAATGAGATTCGAACCTACATCAATTGATAAGTGTTCACTTGCTCTAACTACTAGATCATTCCTTGCTGAACTAATTAAAATTTGTACCCATAAGCGCAGGTGTTTATACATGCGCATAAATATATGATTTTTATTATTGTTCCATTCTCTATTAAATTTGATTGCATTTTAGATGATTTATAATCCATCACCCAATATAATCGTATAGATTCTATATCGAGTGAAATACACCAATTAACATGCAATCATAGATTTACATACAATCATACGTAGATACGACTTTAACCCTGAATTGCGCGTTACATTAATTAATGATACTAAATATACAAATGATCCAATATTTCAAGGCACACCACCAAGTGGACTAATATCTAGTTTGGCATAGTCAACATTACTCCATTCTAACTCAATCTCTTGGTCATTTCCTTCCTTGCCCCGAAAATACAAAACCGTGTAAACCACAAATGTGAAAATCCTCACCAAACAAGACCCATTCACTAAAATCAACCCCGAAATAATCTTTTCGTCGAATATCCAATACTTGCCACCACCCCTAACCCTAATCATCTTCGAACCTAAATACACACCCAAATTTACCAAATTCAACACAACATTCAAAACAAATGCATTCATTTTCTGCCCCTTCATAATTGTTGCGGATTTCCCAAGTGCCCCAACCCCACAACTTTCTTGATCAACCACCGAAACCACCAAGCTCATAATCCAAACACTCGACAGATAGAGATAGAAAATGTATGCAAACAAACCGTAAAAGATAACAACCACGAGTATAGATAATAAATTAGTATAGGCGAGTAGTGGGGTCGCCATTGATATTACCAAGAAAACGTAGCCTATAACGAAAACCGACGTGTAGAAACCCGTTCGACAAGGCCTTGTCCAAGATCTCGCAAACCCTAATGAGAAATCTTTTAAGGACAAGTTTCTGTTGTTGTAAGATTCGGATGTTATTATAATAGAAGTCAACATGGGGAGAAAAGTGACGGTGAAGTAAGAAAGTATAAAAGCGAGATAGACTGCGAGAAGAAGTGAAAAATTTTCTTTCATTTGCGAGAGGTTGCTAATGAATTCGGCACTGCTGGAGCTTGAAATTGGGATTAGGGATTCTTTCGCAAGCATATCGCGCATGAGGGAAAACGAAGAGAAGTCAAAGATCAAGAAGAAGATCGAAGAGGAGATTAGGGAAAGTGTGGTTACTAAAAGCATCAATTTTCCATTTTTGGAAAGTATTTTGATGGATTCTTTGAGGATCACTATAAAATGGAAAAATTGGTGGGAATTCATGGTTGCTTGGATTGATATAAGTTGAGAGGGGTGATCAACTATATATATATATATATATATATATATATATATATATCATGTGGTTTTTGTTTTCTTGATTTTGGACTTGGTGTGTAGTATTTTACTTGGTCAAGTCATGAGTGATTTTAAAGCTTTGAAAATTAAGCAAAGTTTGACTAAATATTATTTAGGATATATATGTGTTTGATTATTTCTGTCTGACTTTTAATTTTTGACGAAGTAGCGAGTGTCCCGAAATTAATTGGCTAATTTAGTGTTAAAAAAAAAGATTGAGGACTTAGATCAAATTTTCAAATCTCTTCATCATCCCATTTTGTCCAAATCGAAATCAAACATTCCATTGCATTTGAATCGAAGATTCTAGTTGAAATATCTTCATTCATATTAACATATCCATTAAGCTAGCTAAAGATTTCCGGTTTTGTCACTCTTCGTTTATTACAGTTAATGGTAACCGTCTAGCTCACGAGAAGGAGATGGGTGTGAATACCGAAAAAAAAAACTACATTCTTAAATGACGAAAACACCCTTCTTAAACCCGGGTTCTATGAAAACCTTGGTTATGGGGAGCAATGTGCCCTAATATCATATGTTCCCCGTTCTTCCTTTTTCCATT